AATAAAGTGGCCGGTGAGTGTATATATATATATATTCAGGTTAAATTTAAGCATTTATTTCTGACAAAATGCTAAAGCTTAGCCAAGTTAGTGGAAAGTGTTCTGCCTTATCCTATGTGTTCAAAATAAAAAAAAAAGATTTAAAATAAGAAAATGTAAACTTTATTGCAACTTTGTCATTCTACATTCTCTGATTTACAGAAGAGAAAAACATTCATAATGGCACAGTCATCGTACTTTTTCTAATACTGCAACAATCCAGATTCATCTGTGTCTGGATTTAAGAGTGGGACATTATTATTATTAATATTATTAAGGCATATTATTTGGCGAGGAATAACACACAAGAGCTTTTCCTGCGGTGTTTTTTTTTTTCAAACAGTCTATTAAAGCACTGACATTGGAACATTAAAAAAGAAATTCTCACAAAAAGGGGTGTGGAAAATCCCTGTGGGTTTTTTCATACATTCTGCTCTTTGAGAGATTAAGACATCAGTGTGATCAATCACAACATGCGGCGTTGCACTAAGACATTTGGTGAACTGTAGACTTATTAAACCTGAGTGTTTTAGTCCATACAGTAAACAGTTTGTTTTGTGGTGGAGCTTGTCAAGAAACAAGTCTGTGTCRTAACTGCTGGCCAGATAAGATTCTTCTGCAAAGGATTAAAAAAAAAAAAAGGATCAAACATGGCAGAGAGCAAAGCATAAAGTGATGCATGACAATTCTTCAGGGGCAAATATGAAACATGATCACAGAATAAATCTCAGAGCATTTAGTCAAATCTCAAATAATGTCCTGTTTTAACCAGAAAGCAGTAAATGTTTCCTGACATGTCCTATAAACCTGGGCTGCTCAATATATAGCATATAATAAAGTATAGCAATATCAGTGTGTGCAGAATTAACATTGCACAGGATTCCTAATGACTGCAGATCCAAACTGTATGCAAAAATACAAATGTGGATTGCTGCTCCTCTAAATACCCACAGCCAGTACAGGGAAAAAGATTCAGAACGTTGTAATGACACAAACACGAGTTTATCATGATGTCATCGCAATGTTCTACACTGAGATCCCTAAAAACATGCTTATATTGCGCAGCCCTATGATAAAGCACTCACTAACCTTTAAGTAAGCAGTTTGGTTATTGTTTAACTAATATATGATGATAGAGGAACTGTTTGTTGTTTAGAACAGAACCAGAACCCCAGGCTTTTAATTAGTGTAGTTTCGGTTGAAATGCACAAAATGTGATAAATAAGAATTAAACACAATCAAACCAGTTCTCTGTTCGTCCTAAATGACCAAATTTACCAGCCGTCCATGTTTTTGAACAGTTTAGGGTAAAACATTAACATAACTTAAATTCATATGAAGTCAGCCAGTAAGTGTTTTTATGCTTTAGTACATTTGGGGAAATGAACGTACTCATTACCATGTTGTGAACCACAGTACTGTGCAAAAGTTTTCAGCTACCTCTAAATTCTTTAGCTGTAGTCCAGCTTTCATGTAATTATTCTCCACCGTTATGAAAGGCAGGGGATCATGTAAAACCATGCAAATGTTTTGCTTAATGTTTTGGCATTCAGATCAGTGGATGATGTTTCAAACACCATATCTTTATGCTTTCTGAGGTTTTTTCCACTTTCTTTTTTATATATAATTTTCCAACCAGTTCTTGTACCTGACCATGATTCTATAGCGTGTGCTTAAAAATGAGAAAGTAAACAAAAGAAGAGTCAGGCGTTAAAACAAAAGCCAGCTCAGAACTAACAGGATTTAAGCAGGATTATGCTTTAGCCACATTTTCAGGAAATGGTTCTTTAGGAATAATTTTGTGGGGGCTAATTTAAGCATTTTATGTCTGTTCAAGATAAAAAAAAAACTTAATGAAACTAAGTTGGGCCTTGCTAGCTTTAGAACTGCCTCCATACAGCAGGTAAAATAAGTATTGAACACGTCACCATTTTTCTCAGTAAATATATTACTAGAGGCGCTAATGACATGAAATTTTCACCAGATGTCGGTAACAACCCAAGTGATCCATACATACAAAGAAATCAAACCATAAATGTCCAGAAATGAAGTTATTTGTAATAATGTGGAATGGCACAGGGAAAAAGTATTGAACACATGAAGAAAGGGAGGTGTAAAAAGGCATGGAGAGCCAAGACACCAGCTGAACTCTCKCAGTAATTAGAAAGCAAGCCTGCCCCTTGTCAGTGCAAGTTAATATCAGCTGGTTCAGTCCCAAATGATGACCAGGTATCACACAAGAACCATCTGATGATGGGTAAAAGTAAAGAGCTCTCTCAAGACCTTCACAACCTTATTGTTGCAAAGCATAATGATGDCATCGGTTACAGAAGAATGTCTAAACTTCTGAAGGTTCCAGTGAGCACTGTTGGGGCCATAATTCAGAAGTGGAAAGAACATTATTTCACCATAAACCGACCACGACCAGGTGCTCCTCACAAGATTTCTGACAGAGGAGTGAAAAGAATGATCAGAAGAGTTGTCCAAGAGCCAAGGACCACTTGYGGAGAGCTTCAGAAAGACCTGGAATTAGCAGGTACGTTTGTTTCAAAGAAAACAATAAGTAATGCACTGAACCACCATGGCCTGTATGCACGCTCACCACGCAAGACTCCACTGCTGAAGAAACAGCATGTTGAAGCTCCTTTAAAGTTTGCTGCACAACATTTAAACAAGCCTGTGTAATACTGGGAGAATATAGTCTGGTCAGATGAGACCAACATTGAACTGTTTGGATGCCAGAATACASATCATGTTTGGAGGTCAAATGGCACTGCACATCAGCCCAAAAACACCATACCAACAGTGAAGTTTGGAGGTGGGAACATCATGGTGTGGGGCTGTTTTTCAGCATATGGTACTGGCAAACTTCAAATAATTGAAGGAAGGATGAATGGGAAAATGTACAGAGACATTCTTGATAAAAATCTGCTTCCATCTACCAGGATGATGAAGATGAAACGTGGCTGGACATTTCAGCAAGACAATGAGCCCAAACACAAAGCCAAGGAAACTCTCAGTTGGTTTCAGAGAAAGAAACTAAAGCTGCTGGAATGGCCCAGCCAATCACCTGACCTGAATCCAACAGAAAATCTATGGAAAGAACTAAAGATCAGAGTTCATAGAAGAGGTCCACGAAACCTTCAAGATTTCAGGATTTTACATAAAATCAAGAACATTGTGGACAACCCTGACCATCTTCTTCATCAGACTGTCATAGAAAGACAAAGTGTCTTCAGTCGGAGGCTTCTTCAACTTCGCTGTAATACAGACCGCTACAGAAGATCTTTCCTGCCCACAGCCATCAGCATCTACAATAAGTTTTTAGTTAAATGAGTTACAACAACACCTAATTTCCCTCTGGGATCAATAAAGTATTTTTTGAATTGAATTGAATTTGAAGACTGTTTGTGTGGAAGAATGGGCCAAAATCACACCTGAGCAATGCATGCCACTAGTTTCTCCATACAGGAGGCGTCTTGAAGCTGTCATTGACAACAAAGGCTTTTGTACAAAGTATTAGATAAATTTCAGTAAGTGTGTTAAATACTTTTTCCCTGTGCCATTCCACATTATTACAAATAACTTCATTTCTGGACATTTATRGTTTGATTTCTTTGTATGTATGGATCACTTGGGTTGTTACCAACATCTGGTGAAAATTTCATGTCATTAGCACCTCTAGTAAYATATTTACGGAGAAAAATGGTGACGTGTTCAATACTTATTTTACCTGCTGTATGTCTGTTCAAGATATAAAAAAAAACTTAATGAAACTTTATGTTGGACGTTGCTAGCTTTAGAACTGCCTCCATATGTGTCCAATGTTTAACCTGAAGTAGAGGTCTGTACTTTAACACTAACAAGCAAAAAATAGAGACACTGCTTGCAAAAAAAGTATCAAAAACAGGCAAATTTCCCCCAAATGTTAGTTTGAAACCCCACCGCATTGGTCAGCATCTTCTTCATGGCTTCTTTAGAACTTTAAGTGGCTCCCAAGGGAGAGCATTTCAAAACAATAATTCAAAATCACCATTTATAACCCACTGCTACAGTAATATTATTATAAAGGTCAAATTTGATCTAAACTCAAATGTATGAAAAGTTAAAACAACAGTAACCTGGCCTCAAGTTTTCTGGTGTACAGTACTATAATACAGTGGTATGATTACTTCAAACTGCTTCATGTACTAAGGATGATGGGTTGTTGAGTAAGAATTTGAGGTACATTCATTTAACAGCAGCCCCGCAGCCTGATTGGTTCAAGTAAAAGCCTTTCTGTTGAGTAAGCAAGACATCCACAGCGAATCTCTGTCCCCATTGGCAGCTTTCTGCGACGTAATTTCCTCCTAGCAAGCGGTTCCCTCGAAGAAAAAAAATAGCCTTTTCAAAAGTCGTCCTTTGTTTTTCCATTTCTTCATTTGGTCTTCTTGAGAGATTCTTTTAAGCCAACATCGGGGCTTGCTTTGTTCCTCTCCATGAAGAGAGCCAGCAGCAACTAGAAATTTTAAAGACTGTTGAAAGGCAGTATGTAAACACACGGATTTCTCAAGAACTATACACAAAAACAGGTGAATGAATTTAAAAAAAAGTCCAGAAACAAATCAGCTGAGAGGTAAAAACTGATTAACATTTTCTTTAAAAAAAAAACGATAAAGGAAGCAAAAAGAAATGCTCAAAAAGAGAGAAAGAAAAAGTCATTTTCAACTTTAAAGTGCAAGTATTTTAAGTCTTCCTACTTCTCATCTCGAGCCAGAAGATGAGAGAATGTCCATGGTCTTTAGGGGGAAAAGTGCAAGTTGAGATCAGGACACTTTCAGAGAAGTATTTGTTTTAAGAATTTGATTCAGAACAGTAACAGTAGGAGTCAAGTGATTCAGTGGATTAGTCAGGACTCAGGTTCTCTGTAGGAAAACAGCCACCTCCTCCAGAGGAACGGGGTAGTCCTGCAGAAACGTCCCCCCGTCAAACACCTGCGCGCTCCGGCTGTCCTGCCACCGGAAGCCCCCGTCAGGTAGATAAATATCCCTCTGCACCGCCCCCTTCTCCACCACCGGCGCCACCAGGACCTGAAAATAGCAAAGTTGAAACAAATTTACAAGTCCGAGTTCGGCCACTTCGTCAGGAAAGACAATCAGATCGCCAACTGGATGCCAAGTACATCGCACGCTGAAAAGAGGAACCTGATCCTCTCCCATGAGAACGCCATTAAGTCACCTCGTCTCCGATGAGAAACTGGTCGTTGATGGTGAAGGTCATTGGGTCACTGGGACTGAGCCACCACATTGGCCGGTAGATGGGGTTTCCCGTCAACTGCCACTCCTCTGCATACTTTTCTATCAGCGGAACCACATCCCTCTGGTGCTTTGCTATGTAGGTCCGAGTCAGGTTCACCACCTGGAGGGGGAGGGGGGGGGGAGTCACCATTTCAAACACATGAAAATGTATTTTTAGAAATAAATAAAAATAAATAATTGAGATGCTAACAGCGTAATTATTTTTTCTATTTTTCAAACAGAGGTACTCGTGTCTTTTATTAATATTTCCATAAAATCTAAGGTAACCAAGACACTAAATAATAATAAGTACATAACAAAAGTTTGGTTGAATGAGGTTTAGGTCATGAGAAGTAGGGGTGCAAGGTGTGCTGCAGCCCTTCCTGGTGGATGTTAAAGGACAAGCATGTCCAAATACATAGTTGTTAGGGGTGCAACAATACAGGTACCCGTATCGAACCGTTCAATACACACTTGTATCGAACAATACAGATTTTTAAAATTTATTTTATGAACTTGTCTTCTGAAGACGCTCTGTGTTTAAGGATCAGAGGATCTGTGTTCAACCACTCTATCTAGGCTGTATTTTTGAGCGCAGATCCACTGAGAAACTTGCTGTTTCAGCAAAATTTAAGTTTAAATTTAATTTAAAAACTGTACTTTTGAGGTTGAACAAGTGTTCATAAATAATTTCAATAAATTACAAGTTAAAAAGGGCATGGAAATTTCTGTTATTTGTATCGAAAAAAATACTGAACCGTGAGACTAAAGTATTGAACCGAACCGAATCGTGAATTTTCTGTATCGTTGCACCCCTGATAGTTATAGAATAAATAAAGTGAATAAATTTCAGATTTTATTAAGGTTGCATTTGTTTAAATTTATTTAGATATTATTGAGATGTTATCAATTTGTTGGACTTTATGAAAATCCTATTTTAATGTTTACTAAATTTAAGAATAAATTTCACAAACACTTAGTTTTCATGATTGCTTTGACCTGCTTAAACAAACAGGGATCCACTCAGCTTTCGTCACTGTCTCAGCAGAGCAGAAGTCACCTCTTGTATATGTGTTAACCCTTTCTCAAAGGGTTGACACATTTTCTCCACCCTTTTGCAAAACAGTGAACACAGATGTCATTTTTAAGCTGCCCATTGTTTTAGGAAAAGAAACCACCTGTTCCTGACTATTACAAGCAACCTTGGTCAGCATGAAATCACTGAAACCACTTGTTTGACACTCCTTCACACAAATCTTCACTYATCAGTCAGTCTGCAGGCTTTAAAAGATGTCTTTACCAGCATGAATGAAGGAGGTCTAAGGCAGAAGATGGTGAGRGTAAGAGGGGAGTTCTGAGGAAGCTGTGGAACTTTAACCGGGACAGATTGGCCAAACTTTTGAGAAAATAAAGGCGGATATCGGAGTGTAGACTCTAGCAGGAAGTATCCCGCAGCTCGGCAGGAGTGTGTCTCAGCTAAAAAGTGTGAAGACGAAAGTCAACTAACCACGTAACCGCRCGTCGACTGATCGGCTTTAGATGGAGTATGGAGACCTTTTATGAGGTCTGCTAAAGAAAACCGTGTCATCCGTTTACTTGGACACGCTASGAACCTCAGATCAGCTGTTTTTCTTTGGTGTGTTCAACACAAAAAAACTTCAGCATTCCAAGAAAGGTCACATCCTCGTCAGCGACCCAAAAATATGATTAGACCATGTCTATACAAAAAAAAAAAAAGTATTTTCATGAGATGGGATTGAGAGAAGCTTGAATAGCAGCCCATGTCTGAGTGGATCTAATTGAGAAGCCAGGCGTGAGTGTGGCTTTGAGGTTGCGCGGCTGTCGGATTCCGGCGCAGTCGTTTCTGTGGGCCGTCTGCAGACTGAAACCTCACATGTTCTAAAAGTTCAGGTGCACGTTTCCCCTACTGTAAAACTGTCATAAAAGAGCTATTTATCGCATGCAGCCTGCTTTCCACGAAATACCTCCTCTGGCTCACTTTATTAGACTTTCTAAGCTGACGGCTATGTTACTTACCCAAATGGAAAACTTGCTGTCAAAGGTTTAACTCTACAAAAGCTCTATTTTTATCTTTGTCACGCAATACGAGTTACAACCAGTATTTATTTTTTCCTGCCTTTGTCTCTGCTACAAGAAAAAAAAAAAGAATAAAAAAAACAGCTCATCATTCCCAGTCATAGTTGTCCATCCCAGTAATAAAGTATCTTTCCTAAACTTGTTCTCAGATTCATTAACATTCCAGCTGAAGTGGTCCTTGAGATTGAGCCTGAGCCATAAATCTAAAACAGGGACTGTAATTCAAAACAGATGGACTTCTTAACCACAGGTGAATGAGACGAGGAAAGACGGGAAGGGCAGAGCAGGGGTGAAAATATCCATCATCCTCTCGAGAAACACAGAGTTTTTTTAGGAACCTGATCTCTGGCAAAAAAATATCAGTATCCATTACTAGAAAATATATACTTTGTTTTCCTGCCGAGCTCAGTGAATGTTTTTTTTATTATTATTTTTATTTTTTTGTGATTTGGCTTTAAATCTGCCTCCTCTGCAAGAACATCAGTGGGAAAAGCAGGTGGGTGGGTCAATAAAACACATCTTCAGTGTCTCTTCCTTCTAAAACATCTAGCAGGCCTCACTTCTCCTGACCTCTTCGAGTCCTCACAAGTTCTTATTTCAAAGTTCGACCGGTTCCGAACAGGTTGTTGGTTTATGGCCGTGCTTACCTGCTCCTCTCCGCAGACCCAGGGCGGCGTGTGGAAGCTGATACTTGGGAGGAAGGCAACTATCTCCAGCCATCGAATGAACAGCTCCGGATCTGTGACCAGTTCTCCAGACAGAGTGCCTCCTGGAAGGCAAAATATTCCTGATTAAGGTAGGAGAAGTCATAATTATAGGGCTATAATGATTGGTTGTTAAGATGAACAACTGTAAAAATATCCAAAAGCAGATTCTGGGATTTACATCAGAAAAGTCTCATTTTCTTGGAGTATGCACATACAGTAATAAAAGTGGAGTGCTGATCCATAAAATGTCATTCTCTTGATTACAGTCAATTTCTTTAAAGGAGACATGCGCTTTTAAATCCTTCTTTTTCACATTTAAATCATTCAGTTGGGTCTATATAAAATGGAACTGCAAAAGTTTGGTCTGAATTCCTCCTTAGTGTAACTCCACAAGCCCCTCTTTCACCCTTTTTCTAAGGTGTGTCTCAGATCAACTCATTTTGAGGCTGTCTCTTTAAATCCAAATGTGGCACTTCAAACCCCGCCCCCCTCCAGCTTCCAGACCGATCCATTCTAGATGGATAGAGGAGTTTAAGATTTTAGAGTGGCCCATAAACTTTTTTATTTACAAAAGAATAAAAGACGTCAACAACAGAAGACTTGTCCATCCAGCCTTACATGTTGGAGCCAGAGAAGAATGAAGACCACCAAATTGCAGTTGGTACGTCCAGACCTTATTTAGCAGTCCTGTCACAAAAACTTTGACGTAATAGTTTAGAATATGTCATCGAAAATAGAGAAAAATGAAAAATCTAAAAATTTAACTAAATATAAAGATATCTACACACACCTGAAGAGACTAAATTAAACTCGTCCGCACTCCTAGAGACTCCAAGTACACAACAAAAGATATTTAATGGCTAAAAAGTAGATTTTGCATGACATGTCTCTTTTAAGTTTAAAGGGATCCCCGATTAGTTGTAACATTAGACTTTATTTGATAAACATATATTTTAACTGTAAAAATACTGTAGGCTGTTTAGTTTTTATAATTTTTAAACTAAAAGGTTAAAAATATATTACACGGACGGGGCTATTTTACTTGCATGCAAAGCATTCTGGGTAAATGATGATGTGGATAGGTCCTCAGCAGTGTTGCCAGGTGTACGATAATTATCGTATTTGTACGATAATTTGGCCCTCTGTACGATGTACGATCAATAATCCCAAAAATCCCATAATGTACGATAATTTGACCGCTCCATACAATATATGATCAATAATTCCAAAAACCCCATAATGTACGATAATTTGACCGCTCCAATGTGTGACGTAATCGACCTGACACGCTGCTCGCTGACATGAGAGTTGGTTTGCGGAACACAGCGGTGCTGATTTAGCGACTTTCTTGCTATATTTACAGAGCTTTCAGACCCTCTAGAGACTGTTATTCAGAAAAGTGACTAGTAAAAATCTAGTGACTCTTTTCTGGTGTTTTTGAAACTTATAGAGACTCTGCCGTGAAC